ACTAGAACCAGGGAAAAGAATTTGGGTGTGGAGAACTTGTACTCTGCACGTATGAACGCATGAGGCAAAAGCAATGTCGTCGAAAGCGATTAAGATAAATAGATGCAAAAACGGAAATACAAAAGAAATGAACGACGTGGTCGATGTGAAGAAGAAAAACAACCTGAAAATAAACCATTAAGTAATAATAATAATAATAACCGAACACATTTCCGATTACAAAGTAATTGGTTGCATTAACTGCTGGAAAATAACATAAAAAATATTCTAAAACTTCACAAAAAGTTGAATTATTGGAATGAGTTCATTACGAGCGTTCATTTTTTATAGCTGGAAGATAAAAAAAGAAAAAAATGGCCGTCGATCCAAAAAGATGTCGTCTGGTAATGATAAATGAGGCGGTTTTTGTGGATGGGTAAGAAGCGGGGTTGAAGAAGGAAAAGGAAAAAAAGAAAGAAAGAAGTATAATAGAGAGATACAACAGAATGGATTACCATTATGTTCGTGCATGTGTTTTATATAAGAAACATGGATGTGCCTATATTTGTGTTTCTCTATGTCGACTCTTATACGTCGTTCCGATATTTGCCGTTTTTGCTGTTTATTGCTTGCTATATGTTTTGTTATCTACCCAAGTAGAATCTAAAATTACTCTTAAAAACTAAACCAATTAATTATTTTTTGTTATTAAGGAAGAGAATCTGATAGAACAGTTTCTTTTTGTAACGGAAGCGATTAGCTTTTTTGTTCTGGGAACATTAGTGGATTATTTGTCTCTGCTGAAATATTTTAAAATTTCTGGGGATTCAAATGCTGAATTTTCTCACAGGTTTATCTGTCTTTTGTTGATTGGTGTCAAAAACATTAAGTTAGAGTTTAACAGTCAATTTTGTGTAACTAAGGATCAACAATTAACGATGATTAATGATAAAATGTAAAACAAAACAAATGGTCCTTAACAACATTAAAATAGTAAAATTTAGCTATTTTCACGAAAAGTAATTAAAAATTAAAATAATAATGTAACAGATGCAACGTACTTAAATGCGTTTACATTCAGTTTCTTTATTATGTGCATACTTGTAAAATGATAATATTTTCAATTAATTTTAAACCAACATAAATGTAAAAATATAAATAAATGAAATTACTGAATACTCACAAGACAGTATGAAATGTTACGACTATGGTTTTTGAAGATAAGAAATTTATTCTTGACGACTGACTAGCTTCATAAGAAACAAACAGTTAACGGTGAATAATACCCTAATTAGCACTGTCGATTAAAGGAGATGTAAGAAATACAAGAGAAACTGCGGAAAGGTATATTTTTATAGGACAATAAACTTTCTCACGGAGTTGGGAAGATGATAGGTGCTTTGAAGAATCAGGAGTCAGTGCATAAACTATCCATTTAACTATTTCCTGTTTCCATAAAATAAAAGAAAATTTAAAGGCATTAATTTTGCAAATGATTCGATGGTGATAGTTACAACAATGACGAAACCTCACACCGTGAGCGTTAAGAAACACGAGAAACGTGATGCCAAGTGTGTTTTACTGCGAGATGAAAATATGACATATTATCTTCCTTTCATAGCTCTAGAACATTATTTTTTGGGGTGAGTCAAAATCTCTTCAACCAAATATGTAGTTACTCGTTAGTTTAGTTTAACATAAGACGAGATTAATTTTACGAACAGAAGAATAAAATTCAAAACATCGATTTAAGTTTAGGAGATGACACAAACTAAAAATGGCAGAGTCCTCGACGAGAAACAATCACACAAAACTAGAAATGGTCTGGTAAAAATAACTTGCTAACGTTCGCTCTCCAACCGTCGAGTCTAAATATTTAGATTATATTGGTACGTGATTAAAGCCTCAGTGGCATCTGCTATTAACATCACATATTCTGTCTACTCAGGAAGTTTTATTTTTAATCATAGATTTCTGTAGTTCAAATTCTATCCCATAAAAAAGGCATCCAATGTAAATTTGCAAGTACCTGATTTTTTCTAACTTGGAAGTTTGACAAAACACGTTTGTTCTACAAATACAATTCCCTACATTCTAACATAAGCTAAACTTACTAAACATTGACATTTTATATGCTCACATTATACTCAGCAATACCCACAAAATAATATACATGAGTATATAACTCGCATTTCTCTAGTTACAGAAGTTAGAATGCATTTCCTCACCTTACTTTTGATAATTCTAACATCAGATTTATCAGATTTACTACAACGTTTGTGACAGAGACCTCTATACCCGATTTAATAAGAAAGAACAACGATAATTATTCTACGACAGAAGAGCGTTTCAACTAATCGCGTTATAGACAATTATATGTCCTTCAAGCCATTTCCTTCAATTACAATACAACCAAAGGGAATTACATTCTCAAAATGAATACCCACAATTTAGGATTAAGAAATACCAAGGAATACTTAATTATAAATTTTTTTCCAAAAATAAGAACTAAAACAGCTGC